CCTTATAACTACCCACCTATAATGGGCTTAGACCAAACCCTTGATTCCGCAAGCCAAGCCCTAAACCCTAAACCCTGAACTTAACCCTCCTGAACCCCAAACCAGGCAACCCTAAACCCTTAACCCCTAAACCCCCAACCCCTAACCCCTCAACCCTAAACCCTAAACCCTAAACCCCCAACCCCTAACCCCTCAACCCTAAACCCTAAACCCTAAACCCTAAACCCTTCACCTTTAGCCTTAAAGTCGAAACTCTGGAGGAAAGGAAGGACCAGAGTCCCACGGCCTCTTCCATAGCCGCTCTTGCTTTAGGTTTAGCTTTAGGCTTAGAGGTTGGGAACTTATGGTTTAGGGTTTAGGGTTTAAGGGTTTAGGGTTTAGGGTTTAGGGTTTAAGGGTTTAGGGTTTGTGGTTTAGGGTTTGGGTTTTAAGTGTTAGGGTTTAGGGGTTTAGGGTTTAAGGGTTTAAGGGTTTCGGGTCTGGGGGTTTAGGGTTCAGGGTTTAAGGGTTTAGGGTTTAGGGTTTAAGGGTTTAGGGGTTCAGGGTTCAGGGTTTAGGGTTTAGGGTTTAAGGGTTTAGGATTCAGGGTTTAGGGGTTTAGGGTTTAAGGCTCATCGCTACAGCAGGTCGTGGTGTGGCTTGACACTGAATCTTCTTCGCCCCTGGACACTCGACCCTACACTCGGAACCCTGGACCCTGAACACTAAACCCTGCACTCTGAACCCTGGACCCTTACTTAAAGGGTCATGAGACTTAGTAAGTAGGGTTTTAATTAGGGTAACTATACTTATAACCCAAATTGTTAAGGGACTTACAAACCTTACTTACGAAGTCCCATGATCCTTTGAGTACCCTAAACAAAAGACGGCAACCCTAAACAAAAGACTGTAGACCCGAAACCCTACAACACCCTACAGTACCTTTTCTAGGTGTCGAAGCTCAGATTTCAACAATGTGGCTGGCAGCAGCCGGTCCTCAAAGCAGCTACAATGGAATCATAGCCGATGCGCCTGGTCTAATATAGTAAGGGTTTAGGGTTTAGGGTTTAGGGTTTAGGGTTTAGGGTTTAGGGTTTAGGGTTTAGGGTTTAGGGTTTAGGTCTAATTTATTAAGGGTCGGAAGAATTGGGAATCGTAGGGTTCCTGGTCACATAGAGTCCCTAAAGACCTGTACTATACCCCCAAAACTTTTCTCCAGCCACGAAGGGGTTTAGGGTTTAGGGTTTAGGGTTTAGGGTTTAGGGCTGGCGAGTTCGGTAGCTGCGATTAAGGGTTTAGGGCTTAGGGTTTGGGCCCAGGCGAAAGAGCAGGGGATTCGGGGCTTCGGATGCTCAAAGGCCTAGGGCCTAGAGCACTAATGTTTAAGGGTTCAGGGTTCCCATGACCAAGACCTCAACGGTTTAGGGTTTAGGGTTTAGGGTTAGACCTCAACCGTAAAGACCTACGACCAAAGCCCTAAGTCTAAGACCCCCAGATGCAAGCTCATGAAGGTACGTCCCTCAACCCCCACTCCCCAACAGTTTAGGGTTTAGGGTTTAGAGTTTAGGGAACCACAACACTGAAATCCCAACCTAAAACGCTCTAATACGCACCAGACACCCTGGCCTAAACCCCCAAACCTTAGACCCTAAACCCTAAACCCCAAAACCCTCAACCCCCAAACTCCGAAAAGTTTAGACCCTAAACCCCAAACTCCTAAACTGTAGACCCTAAACCCCAAACTCCTAAACTTTAGACCCTAAACCCCCAAACTCAAACTTTAGACCCTCAACCCCAAACTCAAACGTTAGACCCTAAACCCCCAAACTCCTAAACTTTAGACCCTAAACTCTTGAGGGGTCGAGGATTCTTCTTGGACGCTTCGGCTGGGGGCCCAGGAGATCCCCTCAGCTTCAAAAAGTGCCCACTGCCGCTCGGACCCTTCACATGGGTAGTTCTCTCAATTAGGCTTTAGGGTTTTAGTCTTTTCTAAGTTGGGTTTTAGGGTTTAGCAGTTTAGCGTTCCCCACAATCAGGCTTTAGGGTTTTAGTTTGTTTTTTTAACGTTGGGTTTTAGGGTTTAGGGTTTAGGGTTTAGGATTTAGGGCTTAGGGTAGGGTTTAGGGTGTAGGGTTTAGGGTTTAGGGGTTTGGGGGTTTATGGGTAGTTCTCTCAATTAGGGTCCCTTTTCGTGTCGTCTTGGGCTTAGTATAGGGGGCAAAAACAACAGTTGAACAAGGCTTTCGTGAGTTTAGGAGCATGTCCGCCTTCAGGCATCCACAAAGATGCCATCATAAGCCACACAGAGGCTTTGACTTTGAGTTTGTAGGGTCCGAAAAAGCAGAACAAGAAGGAACCCGAGTGAATAGTCTAGGGTTTAGGGTTTAGGGTCCTGTATCATTATGCGAGGTTAGGTTGCACATGCAACTGTTAAGTCTAAAATCCAAATCCCAAGAGCAAACTTGCAGGGCGTCAGTGGGACAGATCGGCGACATCGGATAGAGATGGCTTGGGGCTTCCGAAACCCTGGAACAATCTCAGTATAAAGTGCTGAACCCTAAACCCTAAACTATAAAGTCCTATACGCTAAATTCTATACTATAAAGTCCTAAACTATAAAGATCCAAACTATTAAGTTCTGAACTCTAAAGTCCTAAACAGTTTGACGAGGACGTTCGAGGGCAGCTATACCAAACGATTGGAGAACCCAAAAGGAAGGATACCTTCACATTGACTGTGTCACGGTTTAGGGTTTAGGGTTTAGGGTTTAGGCCCCGGGTGGACGGGGTTTCCTGAAATCGCCTATGTTCTTGCATGACGAGCCTGCTTACCAGAATAAAGCTGTGGGAAGGGCAGCGATTTGACTCGGTTCCCCGGTAGCCCTGCAACAGCAAGAATACTGGCTTTCACCCTCAACCCTAAACCCTAAACCCTAAACCCTAAACCCTCAACCCTAAACCCTCAACCGTAAACCCTCAACCGTAAACCCTA